TTCTTTTTTTTTTAATTCCTTTTTCCTTTCTTCTTTCCTTTTTTGAAGATATTGATGCCTCTGTGGTCACATGGTCAGTGACAACAGTACAGCCTTCAAGTTTGGCCACTTATGTCAATCTCATCAATGTTTCCATTATACGTGCATTTTAAGCTCATTACTGCTACGGGTTTATTCTAATTTAAATACAAAATAAATAATCTTAGCAATGGCTAGAGGTTTTATACTCACAGATGACAGAAATATGCATCTGGACACACTTTGGGGCACATAGGACATTTGGGGATATAATTGATAACATGAACTGACGTGTTATTTTGCATATGCTATGCTGTCCACGTTAATATAGCCTGGGATATATTTATACGACTCATTGGTTTGAGATTACTAGTTAAGAAAGTAGAAATGACCCTGAGGTGGAAGCAAAGAGTGGCGTTATATGGTGGGAAATTAGTCTCTCGTCTCAATACCATCATTTTCTTCCTCAGATGAAGTGTCGTTTTTGTCATCAGTAAAATGTCAATTTTTCGCCATGCAGCTGAAGCCAATACTATAAATATCAAAGGACAAAATGATGGAGTATATATTTTTTAGCAGGATAGCCATGCAAGCCTGGACTTCTGACCTCTTGACTATTATAGTAAAGACAGATTAACAATTTTATTTAAGCTACCGTATTTATCGCAATGCACAAGTCTCTACCTTGCTCAGCTCCAAAGGGCACCATTTTCATATAATTCATTCCCAAAGGTAAATCCATAAGTATACTCCCTCTAACAAATGGCGTATAACATATGGAACGGAGAAGAAACACTTAGGAAGGATGGAGAAATGATCATCTAAATGTCTATGTTTATGCATTGCACTTTAGCTGTCCCAAGCAGCAACGAACTCATTATAATTATAGGTTCTTAATTTAGAGAAATGATTTTTAATAAAATCATGGAGTGATGTTACACAGTAGAGTCTATATTAGTAGAGTCTCTAAATAGTAGAGTTCACTGGGAAAGTGAACAGTAGCCACCAGAAAATATGGTAAACATGGTAACCAATGGTCAAGGGAAGATGACAAATAGAATGGGAAAAAATAAAATTAACGTTGACTCTTTCGAAATATAGAGATAAAATCATACGAGTAACCTTTAAAGCAAAAATACCACTAATGTGATATGAAATGACATATGTAGATATTTTACAGGTTCTATAGTTCCTGTTAAAGAATTGGAAATATTTCCTTCTACTTCTTTGTGTACAAGAACACATACTATGTTATAAAATAAATGCATATAGAGCGAAATTGGTCTGTGCAGACAGGAAACGTAGATGAAGAGAGAGATTGTAGAAAGCATTTTGTACTGGTCCCAAGGCCCGTTAGTATGTCTTTACATACTATATATATTTGTGTATATATAAAGGCCATGTGCCTGAAACACGTATAAGGATATGGGGCATTGTGATAGGCATAGTCAGGTATGTTAACAATGACAACAACAACAACAAAACGTGTCATGAGATCCCTTACGTAATATAAGGTCCACAAAGTCTCCTTGCAGTTCTGTGTTCCACAAAGTTGGATTTTGAAAAGCTGAGGCAGTCTGAGAGTTCTTCACCAAAATATTCTTCCCTTCTTCCTGTGTAAACAGCTTGCTAAAATTTCCACACAACTGAGTCCTAGTTAATATGCACCACTTCCAGGGCTGGACCATAAACCCCCTCCCTGATCCTCCTCTTCTTGCCACATTTGTCAGTTCAAAATGGAGAACTCCACAACCCTATGGGCGGCTCCAGCTGGAAGAAAGGAGTAGGCCACTTTTCTGAATTACTGGGTAGAGAAAGTCAACCACTGACAGGAATGTTTTCATTTGAATGTTGCCAGTGAGAAACAAATTTTAACAATTAATCTACTTTAACCTTGAGAATTGTCAAAACATTTAATGTCACCCACGCATTTCCAGGAGACTAATAAATAACTCTCCATTTTTCCCTCTTCAAATTCAGATTGAACTGAGATATAGGTATGGAAGTAAAACAGACAGTGGTAAAATGTTCCCTCATTTATGGATAAAGCTATTTCAAGGGGTGTGGTTTAGCATTCAGACTTGATCTCATGGGCTTCTAGAGACATAGGGGTAAGTGATCCTTACTCTAGTCCTGAAGTTCAATTTTAGTTCTGAGCACACATACACACTTCAAGGAGGATTACAGAGCCTACAGGGGCTGGGATCATTCATAAGGCCTGCTGTTATACCTAAACTCACTGACCCATGCTGTATCTGTTAGTCAAATTGCATCTGGTATAATTGTGATAAATGAAATGCACCAGCCTTAGATAAGCTAGTCCCTGACACATGCGTAGACAAGACTTAGAGAAGAATGGCTTAAGGTGTGAGTGTCAAGGCGCACTTTGTTGTCAAGGTGTGGAGCTTCCTGAGTTGTGAGGTGACCTTCACTTCTTCAGAAGTTATGATCAGCACTGGGGGCTCTGGGTACCCTGCCGTTTTAGGCATGTTCATTGGTTTGTCATGAATTTGAATGCACGCTCTTTCTTCTGTATTAATGTTTTTCTTATGTTTTTTAATGTTTATTTTTGAGAGAGAGAGACAGAGAAACACAGAGAGAGAGAGAGACAGAATGTGAGCAGGGGAGGGGCAGAGAGAGAAAGAGAGAGGGAGACACAGAATCTGAAACAGGCTCCAGGTTCTGAGCTGTCAGCCCAGAGCCCGAGGCAGGGGGCTTGAATTTGGAAATGGCGAGAACGTGACTTGAGCCAAAGATGGATGCTTAACCGACTGAGTCACCCAGGCACCCCTCTTTCTGTAAGTTTTAGTAGCTAGGTTGTATTTGATTTTCCCAGGTGATTTGCCCACTCATGTGCTTATGGAAGGCACTCTGGTCTTCCTATAAATTTGAATGTACTATTGACGTTAGTAAGAACAAAGGACACGCACAAGCAGAGATAGATTGCTGTGCCTTGCATGAAAAGCAAATGAAACTTAAAGTCCTTTTGCAAGTAAGCTTTTGTTCGGTTTGGTTTCTTAGAACTCCCTGAAATGCTATGATAATTACAGTGGTGTAGTGAGAGTTTCTACTGTTTGCTAAAGCTATCCATGCACAGTGATTTTGCAGAACACTGAAGTAAGTAATGCGGATACTGAGTAATAAAATGATAAAATTGCTACTGCTTTGTACAATGTTTGAATCCCTTTGTCCATTTCTTGGTAGACTGTTCTTAAATAATATGCTGCTACCATTCCCACAAACTGAATTTTTTTAGTTTAAATAGAAGGTGGTTGACATGAGTTGAAATATCTTTGCTACATTAATTGTTTATTTTTTTCCTTGTAATTGAAAGAGTAAAATTAACAGACACACACACGCACACACGCTTGCACACACATGCACACATACTCAGAGCTCTAAACAACGACAACAACAACAACAACAACAACAAACATACTGCCAGAGAAGTAGGAGGATTTGCTGTGGAATAAAAGCTGTAAATGGCACTGCATCCGAACTTTCTGCACAGCTCTGCAGATTTTTATGCATTATTCAATCCATTAAAAACCACCTTAGAACATAAAAGCAAACACAATAGAAACTAAATGAGATAGTCACAAAGAACATCAAAAATAGTAATTTAAGCTCCCATATGATAGCAAGCTTGTTCAGAGTCTAATTTTGGCTCTTTGGGTTCTCTTTAGAATCTAATTCATTTTACACATGCATATGTCTGTAGGGAGTGGGGGATGGAATTAATTCACCCAAACATTGGACGCCCACTCCTCTAATATTTCTTATGTTAACACACAAATCTGTTCTCTTCATTACTATTAGACCGCATTCAAATTACAACACAATTAGAGATCATTAACTCTCTCCTTTGTAATCAGCAATTTTCACAGGCCTCAAATAGACATGCACCTTTAATATATTCCTATTCATCTTACACTTTCATTTAGGAGAATGTCAAAACAACTTTTTTTTTTTTTACATTATTGCTATTTGTTTTAGTTTTTGCTCTTGCTCGCTGGCTGGTAGAAGATAATTATTTCTACTAAACGTCTCTTCCCTTCAATCATTCAAATAGCAATTCATTGCTATTTAAAATGAAAAGAAACGGAAGAAGAAAGAAAGAAAAACACCACTGTAAAAATCAGATACCTTGGTTCTACAACTTTTGTTTCATGCACAAAGAGGTTTATTTATGTATTCTAAAATATCATGCTGAGGAAGAAGACATCCTCACTTTTTATTATTTCGTCTGCATTTTAAAAGGAAATGTGTAGAGAACAGATTTTTCCTGAGGTATTATATTCATGAGCTTTAAAGAGGAAGAATATTCAGTATGCTAAACAATTGCTGTTTACAAAAACATGTTTTATTGATTAATTTACCTAAATTCAGTTAAAGTTTCTTTCAGCTTAATGTACTTGTAGATATAAAACTGTGTATTTATGTTTTGTGGTAATGTGTTTAATCTGGTGTTACAATTCTAGTGTCCAATAGGTTTTACTCAATTTCAATTTATTCGCTTTATGGTTTGCCAGAATGTACTTATGGAAGGCACTCTGAGTCATGAAAATGAAATTCTAAGCAGGTTAGCACATAACTATTTTTTAATTTATAAGCTTCTCGAGTTTTACGGGACTGTGTTCTCTCTCTCTCAGTCACCCAGCTATAAGAACCCAGAGGGCCCTCGTTGTGGTGCATGGAAAGGCAGTTAAGGGAAAGATGGCCCCTTTCTCTGTCTCTCACAGCGAACAGGCTCTGTCTGGCCTCTCGGTCACACAAATTCTCTCCTCTCTATTTTCCACAAGGCAGCCAGTGTACTGCTCCCCAAACACACACCCGGACATGTCAACCCCCTGCTTGGAGGAATGTAATCACTTTGAGTTGTCACGAGCAATTGGTTTGAACAGAATACAGATTCAAAAATAATCTGCTGAATATTGAAGGCCCCCAGGATAAAGTCCAAACTTTAATCTGTCTTCACTTACCAGTGTTCGGTGACCTTTTAGCTTCATTACTGATCATCGCCCACTATCACTAAGGTGACATGAGGCCTCCTCCACAATATTTAGGAAGAGATGAGATCATTGCTTCAGCATTTAAATATCTCAGCTCCGAAGGGACACATGTCACTTCTACTCATATGTCATTGCCCAGTACAAGTCACATGACTGCCCAACTACAAGGCAAATGGGGGATGGAAGTCTCAAATACCAGGAAACAGCAGTACTATGTGTTATAGTGGCTGAAACACAACAGGAATTTCATAAAAATATTTAAGGAATAATCGAGATTCATTTGACTGCAAGAAGTAGACACAAAAACAGTTTGGCAAACAAGAGGGATTAACTAGTGTTTGTTGTTGTTGTTGTTGTTGTTGTTGTTGTTTTTCAAAATCTTAAGAAAGGCAGGGGCATTGCTTGGCTTTGTTTTTCACAGAGACAGTGACTTCTCATTTTTACACACTTTTTCTACCGATTTCCAATCTCTGCTGCCCCTGGACCTCTGTCTTATCTGTCAGACTGGCCTCTGCCACAGCTATATTACTGAAGACCTCTGGTTCCTGGTTTAGCCTCCTGGACCTAATAGGTCTGTGGGAGTTGGGATAATATGACTGATGCAACTTGAATGAAGAATGTTTCTTTGGACCAATCACCACATCCAGAAAGCAGAGATTAAGCATTTGTGATGTGACTAAAATCCTTATTACCTGGAGTCTGAGGCAGTTTCTGTCCTTCTAGAATGAGAAACTGAATATCCAAATAGGCGGTGGCCATCCTATATGTAAAAATAGAACACGGACCCACAACTGCAGCAACCACTTTGGATCACGGCCTCTGTAGCATTTGGCCCCGGATGGGAAGGGATTGCTTGAGGACTAACAGCTTCCCTAATTTTTGCCTTCTAGACCCAACTTGGAATCAATGACAAAAAGCCAATTATCCTTCCTAAATGCTCACACAGAATGCCCCACTTCTAGGTAGCCCAATCTTCTGTCTCCCCGTACCAACAATCTCCTACCAGGGTGTAAAAGAACCTTTCGATGTTTCTACAACAAATCTTTCCCCCATCCCCTGCTTGCTTTTTAGTCCCTGCCGAATGCAAGCAATGGTTGCTGATTCTCTGGCTGTCTCAGGCTCTGATAAATATCCTTTGCTTGTTCTCACTTGGGAAGTTTTGGGTTATTTTCACACTATTAAGGAGAATGCAACAACCTTTATGCTAAATGCACCTAACTATGCAAGCCTTTACTTTTTACCTAAACAAACATCATTTTGGTTCATGTTACCAAAGAAGGCTCCCTTTGACTTGAAACCTTGGGATCGCTGCTAGATTAGTGGAAGCCTCCACCTTCCTCCCTTATTTTCATTTTCTCATTTGTGCACTGTCTTATTGATTCCCTATATGATAGCAACACTATTCTCCAAACTAGCACAGTGTATTTAAACTCATGTTACTACTGCTTACGAGATTCTTTTGTGATCGGCATGTCATATTATCAGCAAAAAATGTTTTGCTTTTAACCTGATATCCTTTTCTGCCTCCAAGATGAATTGTAACCACATATTTCCCTGATAGATATTTAAACTCTCATCTTGTCCAACAGAGTTGACTTAAATGGCATACCTTTAATCAATCCTGATCTCATATTATCTGTTGACAGTCTCTACCTTAGGGGAGAAAAAAAATAAAAAGGTAACCTTATTTTGGATATGCTATTACTTCTGAACACTCTGTCACCTGGATAGTTGAATTATTTCATGCAATTGGAACATGCAACCCAGCCTGAGGCAGGAGAAAGAGAGAGAGTGGGAGAGAGAGGGAGAGAGAGAGAGACAGACAGACAGAGCAAGAGAGACAGAGAGAGGGACAGAGATAGACACTTATATACAGTTAGTATTAAGACAGTATTAGTATAAAGATAAATATTAGGAGTTGTTGATTTTGTGATGTAGGCTCTTCATTTTCTGCTCTATAGCTGCAGGTAAAGAAAAATATTTAAATAGTAAGAATGGACTTGATTCTTTAGGAATTATGCTATTAAGTTAAAAACACACTAGTGAAGTAGAAATAGAATCTAAGGTGAATTCTCTGGTATATTTCCCGCAGGAAATGCTGCCTTTTGTAGACTGATTCCCAAGTTTCTTCTCCTTTTGTAAAGTTACTTATCTGAAAGGATTGTAACAATCCACATATTCTTACCAACTTATAAAGCGTTAGACGGTATTATAAAATTATTTACTTATTAAGATTTATATGATGGTTCAATCATAGCCAACTGATGATGCCTAAATTCATATAAAGGACTTTAGCAACTGGACATCGTGGATATAACTAAAATATTAAAAATGGCGTGGAATCAATGTTACTAAAATATCAATGGAAGACGTGTGTGTGGAGAGGCACAAGAGTGCCTTATTGACAATGCGATCACTAACCCAGCTCTAGTAAGTCTGGAAGGCTGAGGGAAAACTTTAAACCAGCATCGCAAGCCTTTTTCAACACTGATAAATGAACATCATACAGACACCTTAATCCTAAGGATATCAATATATCCTTACATGATTTGTAAATGACCAACCAAAGAACCAAAAGGGAAGGAGGAGGACATTTTCGATCCCTACAAGCTTTACCAAGTGATGGAAAAACTCTTTTCATAAGCAAATCCCATCAAAGATTTTCAAGGTGGTCATGTTCTCCGAAGCATGATTATCCTCATAGCCTGAAAATATAGAAAAGGTAGAGAAATTAAATCATGTGTCCAAACAGATGTTACCTGACCTTTCAGAAAAATTTCATCTTCCTTGGTCAAAGGTGTTTCTCCTATTTGCTTCTCTTTCCCCACAGGTTTTCCTTTTCCCTCATGAAGTCATTTCTTGGTGACCTATAACCAGTTCTTCAGCACTGTGTTTAGTGTCTAAAATGTAGACAGAGACTGATGTAACAATCCCTTCATGTGACTATCCACATAGCTATCTTAGTATTAGAATTCAGTATTGAGATTGTCGTTATAGGAACACTTCAAAACAGAGTCAATTGAATTTTAAAAGAAATTTGGCGATTTTACTGGACAGAAAAGAAAACGGATTTGGTTGATTTGCCATTTAGATTCCTAATTTCAGCTGAGGCCTGCTGTCCCCTGAGATGAAGGGAAAAAGATTCTGGCCGGGCAGGTAACTCTAACCAGTTTTCAAGTGTCAAATCTGAGTAACTGTGCCCTAACTCTTTCGGTTCCTTTTTCCATTCTTCCTCTCAAAGAATCTTTCGCACACAAGGGTTTTATGTTGTTGTTGTTTTTCAGAAAAGAAATATATCTCAAATTCTTGAACCTTTCTATGTAGCTTTGCCCCTTGGTGTGGAAATCTCCAGGATGCAAAAGAAAGGAGAAACTCAAAACATTCATCTTCATTAAAAACAAACAAACAAAAATGAAACAAAATGAAACAAAACAAAACAAAAACCAGATAATTCTAATGACCAGGTAACAAAACCTTTTACCAATGATTTTTTTTAGGTTTTTACATTAAATTCTTTTAAAATCTTGAAGAAATGACTAATTGAGTTATCCTTGGCCCTTGCTTATAAACTGGTTTATATGGTAAACCACTCTGTAATTTTTGCTATAATTCTTTGAAGGAGTTCACAGAACTGAGTGGCATTGACCTAACAAAGCCCCTCTGCTCCCATCTACTTATTTCTGAGAATGGGATTTCTCAGTGCTTAAATGTGTAAAAATGAGAATATAGGAATAGATATAACGATGACCCAGTCACATTCTAGCAAAAAGCAAGATTCATCTATGAAGATGTGAATTTACAGGTAAACACTTATTAAGAAATTAATTTTTCCAAAAATACTTTAAAAATCTTTTTTTTAATGTTTTTTATTTATTTTTGAGAGACAGAGCACAAGCAGAGGAGAGGCAGAGAGACAGGGAGACACAGAATCCCAGAATCTGAAGCAGGCTGTAGGCTCTGAGCTGTCAGCACAGAGCCCGACGCGGGGCTAGAACTCTCCAACCGCAAGATCATGATCCCAGCCGAAGTCAGCTGCTTAACTGACCAAGCCACCCAGGTGCAGCCAAAAACACTTTTTAAGTAACTGTACTTCAAAATCTGCCAAGTGTTTATGCTTTTGTTCAAGTTTTTAACAAATAATGAAATTAATAAGTCAAAAGAAACAAAAGCACAAACTATACGGCAACAGAAAATTTAAATTTTGAATTGTCTCAGTGTCCACAGTATCAATATATGGCTGGCAAACACTAAAACGAATCAACCTAATCGGTAAACGTTTTGTAGAGAAACTGCAAAGGCATGAACTCTGGAGCTCTTTGCCTTTGAAAGGCTCACAAAGGTGCGAGTGGTGGCGATTTTAGGGATGGCAGGAATTGCCCAGAAACCAAAGGCCCTTCCTCTGTGTCTCTGAATTCCACACCTTGCAGGGTTTTCATAACACTGAAGGAGGGGAAAGGGGCCTTTAAAATAACAGGTGTTTAATTTTTTCACAAATTAATTTCAGTAGGGCCAGAGGCACATTTAACTTTGTTTAGAAAATTAAGCAAGCATGGCAGTTTGCCCATGGGCGTCGTGAAGAAACTTTGTACCCCTTCCGAGCAGCGTCACCAGCTTACGCGTTTCCTGGGGATAGCGACAGAGTTTGGCGTCTTGATGGATCCTAGACCTCTCCTCCATCACACTCCATAATGGGTCAGTAGAAAGACTGTTAGGTCATGAGGACCAGCCTTTGGAAAAGCAGGGATAAGAATCCACGCGTCACCAAGTATCATCTCTGAAGATACCATCTGCCTGACATCTTTTTTTCAGAGGGCCCTTTCTCTCTGAAACTTCACTTGCTTTCATAAATGGTTAAATGGAAAATTCTTTTATTGTGAAGTGTCCTCTTTCTGGTCTTTCCAGTGGAAAAACTCTGAAAGTAGTCTGAGCTGACATTGTAGACTTTTCTATTTTCTTGATAGAAGTATCTCCTTGCAGGAGAGTTTAAGTGTCTTTTTAAACAAAAACTAAAAAGCATTGTCAGTAGTTCTACGTTTCTAACAATTACCAAATTGACTGAGAGCATTTGAAAGTAT